AGAGAAGTCACACACAGACCGACTGAAGTGATCAGAACCTGGTTTAAACCTGTAACGGAACCTAAATTCAGTGCACATAAACCAGTTTCAAAATGGCTGAAACTGGTTTGACATGTACTGGTTGAATGTAGTACCAGACTTAACTGATTTGGGTCAAACCGGTTTATGCAATGCCTGTCCCAGACCCCTTTCCTGGTTTAAGTTAACCCAGAGTCTCCCAGCATCCCAGTGTGCTCTGCAGCCCTGGGCTGGGCTGGCCCTGCCCCTCTGCTCCCTAACCAGAGCAGGGGTCGGGGCACAGCCAGACGTCTGCCCCTCTAAGGCAAAGTGGGGAGGGAAGAGGTTCATTTCCTCCCCTCCCTCCCCTATCCCACCAGCATGGACCGCAGCCAGGGTCTGCCAGGCAGGGGCGCAGCAGCCCCTGCTAGGCATTTCTCTGCTCGCTGCTTCAGCGGTGGGCGTGTGGCCAGCCCCCACAACAGCATGAAGCAAACGGGGACGGGGGTTTAATTCCCCTCTCTGTCCCCGGTCCCAGCAACATGGACCCCAGCCAGGTTCTGCCTGACCAGGGCACAACAGCCTGTCAGGCAAGGTCCTTCCCTCTCTCTGCTGCAGGGGCAGGGGTGCGGCCAGGCACTGACCGGCATGGCCCCTCGAGATGAAGGGGGCAGGTAGGGGGTGAATTCCCCTCTCTGCCCCTGGGGGACTGCAGCTGAGGTCTGCTAGCCCCGACTGCTGCCTCTGCTGATTGCTCCCTGTGCAGGGCGAGCAGTAGAATAAGCCCCCTCCCTGCTCCCTTCACCAGACGCTGGAGGAAGGGGGGAAATAAACCTATGCTGGCCGGCCTCTGGCTGCACCCCCACCCCTGCTGCAGTGAGGGGGGAGCGCCAGGCAGACCAAAGCTCAGGTCCGTTCTGCTGAGACAGGGAGGGGGGAATTAAACCCCCACCCTGGCCACTTCACTCCAGGCTGCTGCCGTGGCTGGCTACGCTCCTCAGGCCCTGCAGCCGAGGGCTCCCCAGCTTCTGGCCTGAGCCACTGAAGGCATGTGCCTGCATTCCCAGAGTCAAAAGCGAATGTCTGTTCACTTGCAAATTGGTTTGATCTATGCAGGTTAGACTAACCTGTAAAGATTGAATCAAGTCAGGCTCCAGCTTTTTGAATGTCTGTCCCTAGCCTAAAGAGGTAGCTGCGCGTGTACATCTGCTACGGGGGGAAGGGAGAGAAATCTGAATCAAGAGAGGAAAATCCTTTGCAATTCAGACACATCCATGTTCCACTTCCATTACTGTATCATCCATGAGAGGATCTGTGTGTGTGAATCAACTAAGAGTGCAAAATGAGAGCGAGCCCAAAATGTTCTGGAAACATTTCAGAGACACGATAATGGCCAAAACACATAGGTAGACTAAGACACCTGCTTTGTTTGCAAAGTTACTTGCTCCCAGAAGAGATAATCACATGCAAAATCTGCAAGCTGTGCATGCACATTTGATGGATGCCCATGTGACGATCTCCCAGAATGTGGTTTCCTAACGAGTGAGAGAAGGAAGAAAGGGGCAAGAGAATGAATCGACTGTTTCAGAGGTTCTGATAACGAGTGCAATCTCGGTGACCGTTATTTCCTGCACACGAGCAAAAGGATCCTCAGCTTCATCCTTAGAAACTGATTACACAATGCATCATCATGCCACATAGCACGAAAACTCGTTCCACCAGCCTGCGTGCACAAGAGCTGCTAATTTTCATAAACTGTTAGGGGCTGGAAGGGACTTGTATATCATTGGGTCCAGTCCCCCTGCACTAGGCAGGAAAAAACACCTGGGGTCAAGTGACCCCAGCGAGGTGACTGTCCAGTCTCCTCTTAAAGATTTCCAGGCATCGCCACTGGAGGCAGTGTATTCCACAGTCTGGACACCCTGATGGTGAAGGAGCTTTTCCTGGAATTGAACCTGAAGCGCCTTCCAAGAGTTTGTATCCATTGCTCCTGCTCTTCCCCGGGGGTGCCCTGGTGACCAGCTGCTGTCCGAGTTTTTGATGTACTCCCTTGATGTAGAGGTAAGCTGCTACCAAGTCCCCCCTCCACCTTCTCTTCTGTAGGCTGAAGAGGCCCAAGTCCCTCAGCCTCTCCTCGTATGGCTTATCTGATCATATGGGTGGTTCTCCTCTGGACCCTCTCAAGTTTTCCCACATCCTTGTTGAAGTGCGGTGCAAGTTTTGGCAACAAGATCTTCCTGACCCTTTCCTCCAGGCCAGAGAGCTGGAGTAGCACTGCCAGGTCTGCAGCAATCAAAGGGCAGCAGCTCATCAGTCAAATACATCTGAGCCCACAGTAAAACCTGTACGTCACGTTCACTTGACTTCTTCTTGTTCTACCAATTGCTAATTTTCTACTTACAAGTACTCTGCAATATTTTGCAACCAACAGGAAAAACTGTGAAGGAAAATCTGCTATGCATTTTAAGGGGGGTGTCTTGCTTGTACTGTATACTGAGAAATCCCCGTTGCCCACTAACAGAAATAAATCCAATAGGATCTGGAGCTGCCCTCCCAGCAGATACCCAGAACAGATTACCGTATCCCGCCAGCTTTTGTGACCCTTGTACTTCTGACTTGCCTGCTACTATCCAAAACAACAAGTGCCAGGATCCTCCCTGCTAGGAACCAATTTTTAGGCACCATGCTGAGCTAAATGCACCTGCGTTCCCTCTCTACCCTTGTGTCTTCACGTGCTTCCTGGTGTCTAAGACTGGCCACAACCTGAACTGCGCCTCTTCCACCCTTTGCACAAGAGGGCACTTGTAACTTATGCCCAATAAACTTCCCCTTTTCAGCCTCCACCTAGAGGAGCGGTGTACTGCTACGGATGCAGGGGATCCATGCAGAGAGCAAGTTCCTGTACGAGGGAGGACAACGAAGCAAGCAATGAAAAGTCCATCCAGTGGCTCGGTGCACTGCACAGGAGGTTTCCCCTCTCGAGGTGGGAGAAATGTGGCTGCTCTCACCAGAGCTGGCACACCTTCTGAAGCAGCCTAAAAAAAGCATTCAGTCCTCGCTGATGCACTTCAGCAAAACTGGCCTTACCCCCAAAAAACCAGTGCAGTTCAAAGTGGCGAGATCTCCCTTCATCCCACAGGACGGTGTGCCGGTAACCACACACACAAGACCCTCAGGTGACACAGGCTATCTGTTGCTTTTGAAGCTGTTAGTCCAAGGTGTAAATACAAATGGAGGCTGTTCCATGCTATTTTGGTCCTTGCAGAATTCATGTCAACGTTCGTGTCATATTTCTTATTATTTATGAATGGGGACGTCTCAAACTAAGGTTCTACAGAGATGTATTTTAATAGCAGCCAGCCATGAACAGAGCAGCAACTCCAGCACGTAGCGCCATCTCTTCTGAGTGATCGTTTAAAAAAATGGATGCTGCACTCAGAAAATGCATTTTGAGGGATTACATTGCCACTCGACCTCTAAAACAATGTGGGAACTCTTGGAGGCAGCACAGGATACCAAACTGGGCCGGGACAGAATTTGGGAACTGCTTCCTAATTTTGCCTTTGCCTTGCTTCAATATACCATCGGATTTCCTTGTGCCTTATCTCATCCCCCACCCATGTCTGTAAAATGGGGATAACGGAGCAACACAGAGAAAGTCCTTTGAGAGTTCATTGGGTTGTTCCAGTTTTCTCTTCAGAAGAAAAATCCATCTTTTCTTCATTGGAGCAGGAGGAGACCACCGCACCTGGCAACCAACAGCCTGCTCCCCCAGGCTTACTGCAACCCTGATGAAGTCAGCAGGTTTTCCAAAGCAGCGACAGCTGGACCAGCTGCCTCAAAAGAGCCACCAGACTGCAGCACAATGTATCGAAGTCTACCGCAAG